CTTCAAGTTGGGTGTAGATTAGTAAAAAAATCTTATCTAACTTACTGCTCTGCTCTTTGCTCCAGACCCCTGACTCGAAGGCTCCTAACTGGTGGCCACGAGGGACGTGCCGTTTCCACACTGTGGCTGGCACCGAGATCCCATCACGAGCAGTAACCTACAAAATAGCAATGGTGCTCCTTGACTGCCTGTGCTAGAGCTAATGGGTTACACGGCATGGAAGGCTGAAGCTTTTGCTACTGACGTACCTCCAGTGGGATCTCTTGTGGCTTCAGAGAGCACACAACTCGCTTTGGAACAGCAAAATTTTCACTAACTGATTCACAGGCGGCCAGCAGAGATTCTGAAAGAGGATCACCAATTACCAAACACCCACTGAATAAGGACAGCTAGCTAAATCAAGGTACCCAGTAAAGGAACCAAAGAGTGGGCCTTAAAGTACAAATCCACCACCAAACACCATAATAGAAGGGGATTTTCAGATGCTTCTACTTTGAGATACAGGTTTAAAAAAATAATAATTACCGCAGACATTTTATTTCTACAATTGTCTCCAGGGCTTGTTCTAAATGAGCCATTAAAAGGTCAACTCCACCCAAAACAGATTTCATTTTTACGTTGTGTCAAGTTGAATCACATGCTGGATTTATAAGCCCGGTGGTGAGATACAACCACAACAAATCCCAACTTGGCCCAGCAGTCATGGAGATTACAAACCCAAATGGCAGTACACTGTATGGTCAAAAGTTTGGGAACACCTGCCTGACCATCACACCTATATGACCCATGGAATATTTTGTAGGGCTGCAACAGCTGATTGATTATAATCGATCATGAAAATAGCTGGCGACAACTATCAGCGGAGAGAGGGGGAGGAGGGAGAGGGGAGAGAGAGACGGGAGGGGGGGGGAGAGAGAATATTTTTTTAAAACAATAAATTAATTGAAAAAATAATGCGGCAACTAATTGATGATGAAAATAATCGTTAGCTGCAGCCCTAATATTTTGTAATGCCTTCCCCCCTCCCAGATGTGTGTGAATTTGTGCCCACTCAGCCAAAAGAGCATTTATGAGGTCAAGTGCAGATGTTAGAAGAGAAGACATGCATACAAATCTACCCCCAAGGTGATTATCAGGGTTGTGTGCAGGTCACTCAACGTTCCTCCACACCAAACTCCTCAAATCATGTTTCTATGAAGCTAGTTTTGGGCACAGTCATGCTTGGACAGAAGACGACTTTCCCCACAAGGTTAACACACAATTTTCCAAAAGTGTCTTTGCATGCTGAAGTATTTATAGTTGTTCCCTGAAATCACCTGAACTCATGACCACCACAGGACAAGTCATAAGTACACTTGTATTGTGATTGTAATGTCTTCCTTATATTGTAAAGCACTGCGCAAACTGTTGGCGCTATATAAATCCTGTATACGAATTATCATTTGGATTGGTGTCCACATATGTAGGTGTAATGGTCTGCAGTCCACAAACTGTTGCCAATATACTGCATCAGGCTCCCTTTAAAAAAATCTTAATGTAAAAAGAACATATTGGGGAGCCAAGTTGCAAAAAAGTGACTGCATTGTTAGGAACTCGTGAGGGGATGCAGTGACACAATACTGAGTTTCCTGCCACTGCAAGAGACACGGGTCTGCTAACTATGGCTAGTTAGATGACTGATGCTCAGCCAAATACAGAAGATCGGTTTTGGGAAAAGTTAGCCATAAATACTTCAAACTCATGTACTGGCTAGAGAGCTGCCAGACTCCTTTAAGCATTATCGTGCTTACCTCCTGGTGTTTGACATCGGCCACTGGGCAGTTCTACGTTTTGACTGGTGGACACGGCTTTTCCATGCTTCTGTCCTAGCTCACTAAGTGCCTGTTGTATGCCCGCAGGGTTGCTGTGAATCACACGGTCTACCCGATAGACAACGCTTGTATTTGGAGGAGGATGAGGAAGGGTTAGAGACTGTGAAGGACGATCTTCATGACTCCTGCCACTGGGACCATAAGAAAGATAATTAGTATGAAAATGTGAAGAGAACAAACTATACGTTATTAAGAAATACCGATGTATTGAATCACACAATAGCAACTCACCCTCTGTTTCTTGGAGAGGGCCAGCTTCTCTTCTCTCCACTCCTACCGCCGCCGCCACCACCACCGCCGCCGCCGCCTCGGCCTGGCCTCGGTCCACCAGGATGCATGGGTCTGCGATTCTGCCTCTCCATGACTGGTCTTTGACTGGAGAAGCTCCTTTTTGAAAGATCCTTCCTTTGGTCTCGCCCTCCAGTGGAAGGTGGACTGGATACTCCATTTTGCACAGGCATATCAGCCCTATCTTTCTTCTCTGTAAAGTCACTGCTTTCAGATGCAGTCTCCCATTCTTCGTTGGCCTGGTCGGAGTTAGCATTACATGGGTCGGGAGATTTATGTCCACGGCGGGGCATGACGCGTTCTTCTTCAGCCTGTGATGAGCGTTGGTGGTGCTCTTGTGTCGGTAACTGTTGCGGAGGTTGTTGAGGGCCTCCCCCATTTCCTGCCCGGGCAGCATTCTCCCTCTCTTGCTTTAGCCTCCGGAAGCGAGGTGGTTTGTCCTGCTGCTGAGCCCTTCCGTGTCTCCGTCTCCTAGGTGGAGGTGGAACCCGATCATCATTGGGTGCTGGCGGACTCATAGCCACGATCACTTTGTCATTTTTCCTCTCTGTTTTGTGAGGAGGAGGTGGTGGCTGTGCAGGAGGAATCGGAGGTGCTGACTGCTGCTGTTTTGGGTTAGCATTCCAGGACATAGACAATGGAGGTGCACCTCCTCCTCTACCTCTTCTTGAAGGCACTCCTCTTGGTGTAAAAATGCGCCCCCTACCGGAATCTCTACCTTTTTCTTGGTGCCTTGGGTTGCCTGCAGGCATTATATCTGTGTGCTGCTGCAAGGGAGGTCCTCCTTTCCCAGGGTCTTTCTCAGAAGGGATTGGTTCTGTCTCACTACCAGTTTCAGAGCCACGTTGCCTCCTCCTTTTAGGAACTTCTTCATACTCAGAACCCTCGCTGCGTGTTTCACTGGTATTCCGCTCCCGTCCTCCAGATCCGGGTAAAGGCTTGTTATCTGCATCCCCGTCATCTCTGTAGAAAGTGCCGTCTCTTCTGTACCCACCACGAAATTCACGGCTTCTTCCTCTGCCACCCCGACCTCGCCCATTATAGGCCCCCCGAAAGCCTCTCCCTCTTGAAAAATATTCTCCTCTGCCACGGCCTCTAGATGCTGAAACCATTGCAGGAGAGCTCCTAGCTGGAACAGGTATAGTCTCTTTTCTTCGTCTTGAAGGTGAACCTGTTATTTGTTCACCCTCCCTGCTAGTGTAGTTTGCTTGTCTAGGTTTCTGTGGCTCCGCTACCGTTGGAAGTGGTTGACTGACCTTGGCATCTTGATGCTCTTTGGTCACAATCTCCTCTCGTCTGCCACCCTTCTTGATAGGACCTGCCCGCCGCTGAGCAGGTGCTTGGTTAAAGGCTCCTCCTGTACCAATGGGCTCTTCCTGTCTTCGCTTTCCTCCTTCTCCGGGTCTTGGTCCCCAGCGCGTTTCTGTCTTGGACTCCCGGCGAGGAGGCGGTCTGTGGTACTCAGGCTTTGTAGTTTGTTTTTCAAACTTTGGTTCCTCTTTGGCCATTTCCTTCCTTTCCTCCTTCGGCCGCCCACTGCCGATTTCAACTTTGGATGCGTTATCTTGCTGTGAAGGTGGAGGTGCTGCTTCCCTCCGCAGTATAGCAGGTTCATCATCAGCCCTGTGTGCCTGGGATGAGGGGACAGACACTGGAGGTGGTTGAGATTCTGAACGTCTCTGTGCAATAGGCTGCGGTGGTATTTGGGATCCCCCAGCATGGTTATGCGGCTGATGCCAGGTGCGCTGCTCTTCCCCAGGGTAGCGATGCCCAACATGCGGTTGTTGGGTTGATGCAACAGCATTTTCTTGGTAAGAAGTGAAATTGCCCAAGTATGATGGAGGTTGAGCCTGCTGAGGAGCGACGGAACGAACGGGTTGAGCTTCACTTCTATAATTGAAGAAAAAAATAATAATTTACAACCAGCAAAAGAAACAAGTGAAAAAGTTCAGCCCACCTGTAGCTCAGCCATACGCAATTAACACATTTTAGGTAGCTTTGATCAGAGGGTGCCCTAACATACCTGTATTTTTAGCAGACCGGCACCTAAAACTTTCTCCGGTATAACCCGAAGAGTAAAACTTCCTGTGTCCCTCAAAGGACAAGAAAAAAAACCTAAATTAAAGAGGTTGATTTTTGCATTTTTTCAAAAACAAATGTCATTTCAAATGAGTAGCCTTTAGATTACTGAAGTGCGGCCTGTGGATGAAGGCACAATTGGGGGTCTGGTGAGACTCCACTATGAGCTGTAGTGAGATTCCATGTCATGCGTACAACAAGCTTGAAAAATAGACACTATTAGGACACTAAGCTAAAACAGAGCTTTTACGGCCTGCAAAAAAGGTAAAGCCAACAGGAAGGAGTAGTGCCTTTCTGCTTTAGCCTAGTGTCCAACCTCCCACAGGCAGGGCATATACCAGAGGAAGAAATGCTGGGAGAAACTGCTCTATTTTTGGGGTATTTTCATGGCTCCATCCATTCCATGGTTCTAGAATAAATAATAAAACGCCTTTTTTACATTTGTGAAGAATTTGTCAGATATGCAGCTCGTTTTGGTTTTACGAAGTATCTACTATGTTGGGATACCTCACAAGCAGAGCAATACCACCCTATAATGTCAATGAGTCTGGCCACCCTTGCTCAAATATATCACATACTGTATACATTCAGTCAAAATGACAGGGTGGCTAGGTGCCAGGTTTAATTAAAAATGTCAATACAGCAAAGACTTGAGTATTTCCCAGCAAATATTCTATAGGTAATATAAAAAAACAAACTTCAAGCAACGTGAAAGTCATTGCGAACATTGAATGAAAACAAGTGCACAAAAACATCTCCATAGAAAACAACAGCTCCACCACCTACCTCATATCCCGCTCCTCTTCTTCGGCACTCGGTCGTAGAGGAGATGCTATTGGCCGTGCTTCGGCAGGATTGTACATCTCGTTGCCCCACATTACTTTGGAGTCTGCGGGAGGAGTCCCTCGCTCCCTCATTAGCGAAGCATGTCGCTCATATCCATCTGATCCTGACCCCGCGCTGTCTGATCGCTCACGGGACATCAGTCCTAGAAACAGAATTCAGCAAGTCAGAACAGGAAATAACTGTACGATTGGGGCAGATTATATAGAAGGTCTAGCTGTTATGCCGAGCACAAAGATAACTGCTGCCATCACCAATTCACATAGGAATTCTTCAAACAATAAATACAAGTACGCATTCCCAAGCTGAGAGAAGACAGCAGGTTTTTACTACTGGATGTATAATGGCAAAAGACTTGGATGGAGAAGTATAATGGCAAAAGACTCGGATGGAGATGTATAATGGCAAAAGACTTGGATGGAGTTCCACAACTACTGCTAATGTGTTTGCCTATAAAACTATAGGACCCCTATAAAGGAGTGAGTCTATTGGGCTCTACTGCTTTGTACAAGTAACTCATTCTAATCCCTGGGGGTCTAAAAATGGGGCGTTTACAGAAATTACAGGAGGACCAAGGACAGACATTACCTCAAATAGGCAATGTAAACCCAAGGTTTAATGAACAAGCTTGGAGGAAGGCACAAAGAATAGACACTAGTAGTGACCTTCTACCTACATAGAGTTTGTGAATAACATAAGTCTCTGAACAGAAGTACAAATATTTTGACAGGTAAACAGTTCACAGCTCTGCTTTAAGCTTCAGGCCCCGTTCACATGTAGCGACTTATCGCGCGATTTCCATCCGTGATATCGTGCATTTTTGCAGCGCCATATCGCGAGAAGTCGCCGGCTAATGATAGTCAATGGAGCTGTCTTAGCTCCATGTCGCGCGTCGCGGTTGCAAGTCACTTCTACCGGACCCTTTTTTCGGCGGATTATGCGCGATTTTGCTTTTTTTCTATGGAGCCCGACGGAGAAGGTCGCGCTACCGTCGCTGGATCGTCGCCCCGAAAGTCGCGCTATCCCGGCCGCTGCAAAGGTATGTCGCTACATGTGAATGGGGCCTCAAACTAACTACAGTAAACTCTGTTACCCGGTATTCAACTAACCAGAACTCTCATCTAACCAGTAAAAAAAAAAAAGAAAAATCCCCTGCGTACTCACTGTTTTGCTCATCTGCCGCATGTATTATCCTGCAAATGATCATGTGTCTGTTTGTCTTAATTTGCTTTTCATCACTGCATTTCAATATTAATATGAAGTCTATACAGAGTTTACGTTATGGGGTATGGCATTAGTTACCTATTTTTAATAGTAACTCTCAAGCAACCAGAAACTACATTTATTCGGAATCTACCAATCCCTGTGGATGCTGGATAATGGGGAGTTTACTGTATATAGACACAGAGTACCCTCAGCGATTCCAAACTATATTTCAAACTCCAGCCAAAACTATTTTTCATGCTTTTCGAGGAAAAATCTGATCCGCAGTTATGCGATTCGTTCACATCTATGTGCAGCAGGCTCAGCATATTTGTGCATAATGTCCATGAAAAAGGCCATGGAAATACATGGTAAATGTGAGTTTTTAAATATTCTGCAACACGGAAATTCTACATTATTAAATGATTTCTACGCTTCTGAAAATGTGAACATATTTAGAATACACAGAGGTACAAACACGAATGCTCGTGTCGTGGTGTGAAAGGTGTACTTGGGTTTTAAATCTGCCCAATTCTCTGTTCATGTGCTGCCACTGCTCACCTGTAGGGTGAACTCCCGCTGGGGGAGGGTAATAATCCATGGGTCTCCCTTGCATCATGCGTGGATCAATGAAAGGAGGAACCATCACCCATCGAGGGTCATAAGTGACGTGAGGCGGCAGGGGGGCAGGTGGCTGCGGTGTGCCCACAGGAGTGGTCCTTCCCATTGACCCTCCTCCATAGAGTGTTTTCTGTGGTGGCTGGGCTGCTGACAGCGGTTGTGATGGAGGAGGTCCAGCAGGGGAGGGTGGCGTGGGCTCTCTGTTCTGTTGCCATTGCTTCATCATCTGCTCCTAATACACATAAAACAGAATACATCTAAATCAGAAAGCATAACAGGACTATAATTTCCTTCTGTCGTGCTACTTGTTAGAATTATGTTCATGTTTAACAGGTACATCAAATCTCTTGCGAGTATGAACACTTAATCCTTGCATCCATAAAACAGAACACTTAATCCTTGCATCCATAAAACATTAAACTGAAAGAGGCGACAATAGACCAGATTCCCCAAAGTTAAAGATGAACTCCGGACGAATTTCTGCAGCTAGGTAATTATTAATAAAAATAAATGTTCATAAAATGCAATTAGTTAAGAATGAAAATCTAAAATTTTAGGCCTTTCTGGAAGGAAAATCTTTGACTGTTTCAGGTAGTGTTGGAGCTTGAAGATAAGCCCCACCAAAAAAATCCTACTGGTCCACGACTATAAAGGGCAGCCTCACTAGCCAATAGTAATATGCAGGAGGTAGGAAGGGATGTCTTCTGTACAATTGGCCAAGACAGAAAGGTATTTGAGGCCATTGAAGGTATACTGGCATTTGATTAGCCAACTACACTTTATACTTTCAGCATTTTTTTATGCCCAACGAGTCTATTTAAATATATTTAACAGATATGTTAAAGTGCTTCTTGCGATGAGTTACTGTGCCCCTCTCTAGAATGAATGCAGCCCCTTACAGTGTGTTCTATTTCTGCTCCCATTACCTGTTGCTGACGCTGGAAGCGAGGTGGCAAACTCTTCTGAAACTTATTGTATCCTCCCTGGGAAGGTCCCGTAGCTGGCGGGCGGCTCACAGCAGCTGGTGCTGGCTCTTGTTTGGGCTCTGGCCGGGGAGGTGGGCTTGGTTCACGCTTTACCTGGGGAACTTCAGCTGGTGGCAGAGCTACTATAGGCTGCGGAGGAGGTTCAGGAGTTGCCGCTGGTTCCACCACTGCAAGAAGGAAAAAAACAGAAGGGACGGTCATACAAATACATAAAAAACACTAAGTTTGAAACATGTGAACTCATTTTCCCATTAGTTCTACTGGACAATCTGCATTTAAATTTACACGCAACATGAAATATTAAAGCTGAAGGTTAATCTGCTTATATATTTTGCATTCTATTGCTTCTCCCTCCTCCCTCATCAACGTGTTGACTACATTTTTTAAATAACCTTATTCTAAACCAAGTCATGACATCACTGGGTCTCTGTGCTTCTGTATTCATTGGAGGAAGATCATGTCTGGTAGAAGGGGCTGGGAAGGTGTTGTACTTAAGTTCCAGAAAACATCACATCACCCAGTCTCAGTGCTGCTCTCAAGAGCCCTCAGGCCTGATGCAAGTAGTGGCTGGATCTTGGAAAGAGTTAAGCAAATATCAAATTGCCCTGATGGGTGAATGAGAATATGGGGATGTGGACATTCTTAGGCAGGCTGCATTAACATAGAGTGCTGAGCCTCTATAACTGGACTAAAAATAATCCAATGACTGAAAGGGAGATGCCAGGGACAGTCAGGCAGGGGCAAGAAGATAGATGATGCTGTGCGTCCTGCAGCCAAGAAAGGAGACGAGCCCTATCTGACTTGCTGAAGCTTCTATTGCAAAGCTCACAGTGTGCAGTGAAATCAAAGCAAGCCATTTCAGTCCAGGAGATGAACCAGTACAACTGTACAGGACTAAATGAAAGGCTGGAGATCAGTTTTAAAGTGGATATCTGACTTCAGAGTGACATCCCTGCAGCCTGAGATGCAGGAAGAGGTACAGTGGATGACAAGAGCTCAGGATAAGTGTAGCAGACCAAAGAACAGAGGAGCGGTGGTGGCACAAAGTCATTGGAAATCTGTCCACACATGGCTTGTCTAAGATATCATACCAGGGGCATTCTGGGCTGGAGGCTCCGGCACATCAGTGGCCCCATTCCTTCCTGCCAATTCCGCCTCTTCTGGCGCAGGTCTGCGTTTCATATCTAGTCGCTTGAGTTTCTCAGCGCATGCGGCTCGCCTCTCTTCCTCCATCCTGCGTTCCTCCTCTTCTCTCCTTCTCCGAGCACGCTCCACTGCCTGGGAGATCTCAGAGGAGGACTGCTTTCTGCGCTGGCGCCATGCTTCATCCTCATCCTCTGCAGGTGCCACAGCCACGGATGCCGGCGGCTTTTCCTTAAAATAGGAACAAAATATGAAAGAAAGTTAAAAGTGTATCTGCTAAGAGATTGATAGAAAGGCAGACACTGTTTTTATTTAACTCAGTGATGGAATAATGGAAAAGTGAATTATAACCATCTTTCAACAGGACTACGGTAAAGATATAATTAAAACAAAATAAAATAATCCCACCTAAAAATGTTGCAACATACCATTCATTCACCCATGAACCTGCACTGCATTCCGTGTCCTACTGCACCTGCACTGCATTCCGTGTCCTCCTGCAGCAGTTTTTTCTGGCTGATGTCCAGCATCAAGCCATTTCCTGTGACCACAGCTCCTGCATGTACATCTCGGTGTACATTCCCGTCATCTACCAAGTGCCAGGATGAATTAACTCCCCTGTGTGTGCCCATGGGAGTTATGCCATCATGGGCCAGCTGATCAGGATGGCCGAAGACGCTGAACTCAAAAGAAGCAGCGGCGACAGTGACTAGGGACATCGCAACTGTTGTAGTGCTGGAGGACTTCCTTTGGCAGGTAGATCTGCCATAATGTTCAAATATGCCGTGCATGCTTGCACATAATGACAAAATCCCTGCGTGCCAGCAGTGGACTTCAGTTCTGCCTTAATCCTTCACCGACCTTCAGAAGATAATTTTGTGCAGAAGTCAGCTTTTTGACCACAGACATCAAATCCTGTGGGGTACTCCAACTTTCAGATAGCAAGTTGGGTGACCCCTTTTCTTTTCCCTGCATTGTAGGGTAATGCAGACAGTTTAAAAAAAAAAAAAAAAAAAATCACATACAAATACAACCAGCACAATAATAAGTCAAGCTGTGTGCTCACTAGAAACTCTTTCCCTTTTTACAACTCATCTAAAACTAGACCAGTTTTTAAATATCACTATAAACTGTTCTAAAAAATTGTTCTTGGAGCGGTTCCTTAGACACTTTCTATATACATAGAAGACTCACCTTGTGCTCTGGCTGTGGCCCCCGATGTGCAGACTGTCCCCTTTGAGGAGGGGGAACAATGGCAGTAGGTGCCGGTAAAGGCTCCAGAACGCGATTCGCCTCCGTCCATGCAGCTTTGGTTGGTGGAGGCTTCTCCTCTGTAGGCGAGGCCTTCCTGGAATCAGAGGTCTCCACCACATTCTGAGGTGGGAGCACCGGCGGCTTATCAGTGAGAGAGACAGGAGACTCCCTGCAGATACAATGAATCAATCATATTAAAGGCACAAGATCAGAGGACACAACATACTCAGAACCTAATAAAAGGCTTTTTTGGGGGGAAAACGAGGAGCAACACACCTCTTTTCGTCTGTATCTGTATCCTTCCCATCCTCATCATCGCTGAATTTCAGCTTCTCGGTATAGTCTACCTCTTCATGGGCCCCTGGAGAAGGTAAGAGAATCAGTGGGTCACTGATCGTGAACAGAGATCACTTAACGCAGAACAACAGAATCCAGTGACCAGTTATTCACCTGCCCAGCCATCATCCGTCTCTTGATCCAGCTCATCAAATTCTTTCAGGTCGTCTTGCTTCAAGATAGATGGGCGGTTAACGGCTTCAGACAACCTGGGAGCGTTTTGGGGAGCACGTGGAGGAGCCAGCCGTGGAAATCTACACAGGAAGCCAGAGACTAAATACCCCAAACTTACAAGCAGCATGAACAGTTTATTAAAAAAAAACGGTGTACCTGTGCACAGATGATAGACAATGAAGTATTTATATATCCTTAACAAGAAGAAAAATAGCTTTAAACCGAGCAACCGCTGACCTCTCTAGCTACTTCTACTGGGCAGTGATCCATCATGAAAGATCCTGAAAGATCACAAAAATACTCTAAAGTCAAGATTCATGGCTTAGTTAACGTTTCAGGCCATGATTCATGTTACACTCATATTTAGGGTGAAACACAAAACAAGTAAACCACCTCCACCCCCTTCCCTGAATTTCAGAGTCATTCCCCCTCTGCTGTCTTCAGTTGATATTTGAATTTGGTATGGCTGTACATGGCTCCGCCCTGCAGTCACATCAACGAATCAAAGGATCTTTGAATGAAAAGACTACAAGCCCCATCTACCATGGCAGAGGGGCTGGCAGATCTCAATGGCGCACAAGTGCAGTGACGTCACCGCACTTGAAGTCCACCGATTACTTCTTCCAGTCCTATAACTGAGGTCTATACCTCCGTATGTGCCTAGTGCTGGGGGAATAGTCTGCAGGAGCCTGTACATTGCACCCACAATCCACTGATCACCATTGCAATGCTCAAATGCAAAAAATTAATGATTGCACATTTTTCCTTTCATTGTGTGCACATTTATTCTTTTTCTTCAAAAGGTGAACAAAAGGTGCCTTTCAGTCTGTTTCTAACAGCTTAGAAACATCTAGCTCGTGTATGCATTAGACGGCTGGCAGCCTGCCACGATCCTGCTCTCCATACAAAAATAAAGGGAAGCTTTGATTTCCGTTCCTCTCTTATGATCTTTGAAGATAAATATCCCCACAATGCCTTCAGCTAAACAGCTGGATGAGGGCTGTTTTAAAGTGCTTTCTACTGCTTGTTCAGATATGTTAATCCTTCAGTGTGCATAGCTTGGGCACAGCTTGAACTCAAAATCTGCCGTATTACAGGGAACATCAAGAAACGTTAATTGTGCCTATGCAGTACCCAGAAAGATTTGACTTTTGTGTTGGAAGTGCGCTTGAAAAATATATCCGCAGTGTGAGATCATCTAAGGCCTATCTGCTGCCTCTGACTGATGGTCCATCAGTTGATCTGTGCTTCCTCCATCTGTCCTATTGCTTGGGGGGCTGGGGAAGGATAAGAACCTCTATCAGGTTATTACATGTATGTGATTTTCTGCCCCTGTGAAAGCAGGACAAATAATGAAGGAAGATGGAGTTCTGGGACAGGAAGACACAGACATTAATAAGGACCTCACAGAGGTTCTAACCCCTCCCCATTTTACTAATATTATATTTTGTTGCATACTATGTCCCCACTGGACAGATGTCAAGCATGAAAGTATTAGACCCTAAAATTCTCCGGCCATGCAATGTACTCAAGTGAGTGATGGGAGAAAAATAGAAAGAATCTTACTGGCTGATATGAGCAACACCAGCATTTCCTTATAGAGCTGCAACAACTAATGGACTAAATCGATAGTAATCGATGAGAATAGTTGGCAACTATGCTCATCGAGTGAGAGACTGAGAGATCGAAAGAGAGACTGAGAGAGAGACTGAGAGAGAGATTGAGAGATCGAGAGAGAGACTGAGAGAGAGATTAAGAGATCGAGAGAGAGAGAAAATTATTTTATACAACCAATCGATTAGTTGAGAAAATAATCAGGTAACTAATCGATTATGAAAATAATCGTTAGCTGCAGCCCTAGTTCCTTACCACAAATGAACCCCTCTCTGTCACCATAGATAAGGCTAAAAGTTCTCTAGTACCTTGGAGCATCTGGAGCGTGAAAGCGGAAGGCTCCTTGTGGCCCATACGGAGGAGGGAACGGCAAATATGGGGGATACATCTAGGAAAATAATAATAAAGTAAGACTACAAAAACATTTCTGCAGTGACCAATAGTGAATATATAATTAAAATTCCTATTCTAATACATACTGAGCAATTAAAAAGACACTGGTACTCTTCCCTTTCTGCCCAACCCCACCTCATCCTGAACCACTGATACTCCCCTCTCAAAAGATGTCCTGTCACTTCTTCCTTTACCATAGCCAGCACAATATACCTGGCTGGGGAAGCACGTGACCTCATTCCACTGCAGATACTTGTACCTGCACAATCATGTGATCATTATGTGCCAAAAGGAAAAATAACCAATCCCAAAAAAGTTAAGCCACAGACCTATGTCATAAGTCGGTGGTGGCAGCAGCAGCAGGGACATGTACACAAAGTCCTGGCAAGCAGCTTGCATGTGTGATTGCATCTGAACAAAGGCAAACAGCTGCAGTCCTCACACGGTCACTGCTTCGTACAGGCTGAGCACCTCAAGCTGTCTCAAATCAACTGGGATCCCTGCCCGAAGGAACCGTAGCCGGACATAAAAGCCGCCAGTGGCTTTAAAGTGTTTATAGAGCCCAGAATGTAGTAGCCAGAAAATGTTTACTTTTGTTACTTTTAACTCTTATACATGCCCTTTATTCTTCTATTTCTGAAGTATACATCAAACACCTGGTGATCCTGCCAGCAGCTTCAGCTTCGTGGATTGTCAGGACCATGATAACAGGTTACATTGTGCTGTCCAGTGAGTTCCCTGCAGCAGTGTACAGGACACACAGCATTCACTATGCTATCACATAGTCAGCCTGTAATTACATATGGCCACCTTACTTCAAAGGCCATCCCTAGCTTTAGATTGAAAGTGGCTCCGGTTAGGAGTATCAGTGTCAATACAGCAGACTCTGCCACCATTGCTGGGAGCTATAGGAGGAAATTGTAACCCAGCAGTCACATGACCACAAATAATAATGAAAAAAAAAAAGATTGTTGTGGAGCATTTGAAACGTTTGTGTAAACGTATTATGCCAAAATGAGATAGTGTTATTGTGGGCGGGTTAGCTGACCAGACTTTACAGATGTTTTAATACAAGCTATAAAAATGGTAACCTAACCCATGTTACACTTATACCTAGCTGCCAGTGATAGCTGCTTTCTTTGGACTGCTTAGGGAGTGGCACAACCAGCAGGATATTATATATATTTTAGGGCAGTTTGTTTAATAAGATGCTAAGAAGTGCTAAGAGGGCAACCCGTTCCCAAAAAGAACTATGGTCAGGCATAATTTATAATTAGGAAAATTAGCCTGTTTGCAGAGTTCTGGATTCTCTCTACTGTCTGGGCTGTCCCGCATTGTGCAGTTTTATGATGAAGGGTGAAGGATGGAAATAAAAAGTCACAAAAAATAATAACACATTTAGAATAAACCTGCCCTGTCCTAATAGTTAAAAGTTACAGTTTGTGAAAGTTGCCTGTAGGTACACAAACCAAAAGCATTACCCTACATCCAGGATCATCTTTTTTAAAGTGACACTAAAGGCTATTATTTTTTTTCACCTCCCCCCAATGTTAGTGTCAGGACTTACCTTAAATGATGCCTCTTTATTCGATCATCTTCTTCCTTACTGTCCTTTTCAGCTGTCCCTCCAGTGCTGGTGCAGGTCTCTGATCCAGCGCTGACTCCTCTTCTCTGACGTCCTACGGTGTCTATCCGGGTGCACACTGCTCCATAGACTTACCTTGCGTCTCCCGGCCAAACATCTGAACTGCGCAAGCGCCCGCCCCAAGATCCTTTGCGGCCTCCCGAGACTCTTCAGATGTTCGGACGGGAGTGTGCGGCGAAGACACAGGTAAGTTTAAACCTGTTTCAAAAGGTTTTTGTTTTTTTAAGTTTTGCATATATCAACTGCTTGCTAGCCATAGATATATGCAAAAACACGCGAGGGTTTAATAACCCTTTAAACACTTGTGCTTGGCTTAGAATATTATGACTGTGTAAATAGGCTTCTATGAGATATCTGCATTCTAATTTCTGATAGGCCAAAGAGTACAAAGAGTACAAAGCCGATACTGTTCCCTGGCTACAAGTCTACGGTGTCCAATGATAATACCGGCCTTTGTATTCCGCACTCCCTCATTGCTGAATGGCAGCACAGTCAGAACTTATTAGTGTGCTTTGATCATGCTGAAGAAAGATGTGTTTGATGTGTAATTACAACACTCCAGTGGTATACCATATTTGTCACTACTAATATTACTCATCCAATGTGAAAAAAGAGCTACATAGGGAAGCAATGGACATTACCCCCTAACCCCAAAAGCATTATACAAGGAAAATGGAATAAAAATGTTGCATCAAGATACAGACTTCTGTAATCTAATGTAAAAAAAAAAAAAGAGAAAGTAACAGTGACAGAGGTCTTTGCATACTCACGAATGGTGGTATCATCCCCCGATATGGAGGGAACTGTTGGTGAGCAGGGGGAGGCAGCCCTTGACGGGGGGCTGGCTCATTGCTGGGGGCGTGTGCCATGTCAGGAGTCTCACGGCCATCCCCATCCAGGGAGCCTGGAGCCAGCCCCCCCCTCCCGCCCCCGTCCCTCCAGGAGGTGGCATCTGTGGAGCAGAAACAGACAGTCAGCAAGATCAATTACATGACAGCGCATAACATACAAAAAGGGGGAAACACAACCAGATCTGGCAATATGGGGACACTAGAGCGTCTCCTATTGAAGGCCTTAATAAACCAGGAGCCTGGCAAAAATCTTCTTCTAAAACTGGACTGGCTAGACACTATAAAGCAGTGGTTCTCAACCTGTGTAATCTCAGGACCCACATTTGTCCTTGGTCATTAAGTTGTGACCCAAGTCGCACCGCATTGTGGTACCGTGCATTCCAGTGCGGGCGATCGAACTGTGTTTGGGAGGTGCGTTTGGGGAGCCATTCAAATGAATGGCAATGCAACACACCTTCCACACCTGAATGTGTGGTAAGGTGCATTAATTGCATGGGACTGTGCGATTAGTGCGCTGTACTAGTGTGAATCTGCCCTAAAACACACACACCTAAATTTTGTTCTTTTTTTAAAGATCCATCCAGTCTCCCTATCTGATGAGAACTGGAGTGGATCCTCAGCCTGGGGTCCAATGCGGGCTGCTGCGCTGTAATGAAGCTCCATCCATATGTGCATTGCTTGTACAGTTCCTTGCATGCCCTGTAGAGGTGCCTCAAAGCCATACCCCCACCCAAGCTGACACTTGGCACTGGGCAGCATATTGTGAATGGCTGCTTATTGTGAGGACTGACATTGCTGCGCTAGGGGGAGGCTGAGAAGCCTCTCACCTAGAAAAGTGAAAGGCATGCAGTGACCCACTGAACATGGGGTTGTGACCCACTTTTGGGTCACGTCCCACCAGTTGAGAACCAAGGCTATAAAGTATTCTAGACTGCAACCTGATGGAAGCCCCATACACAACACAATCCTTACTCTGGGGGCGGAGGCTTGGTCCTGGCCCATACGACACAGCGGAGGTGTTCTGGTCGTGCCCACTTTTGTCCTGGTCCCCAGCCGCCTGCAGGGTTGGAAATTCCTCTCGAGAGAATGGCGACAGTTGGCTTGATGCCTTTCCACCTACCAGGACAGTACAAAGAAAAGAAGAAAAAAGGTATGCAAATTATAGTACATCTATCCAATTACAGTATATACAAAAACAGGAAACATGGCTTCACTTAGAGTAGCTTTTGCCACTCTATAAACGTGTGCAGTTCTACTGCTGCACAAAATCAATCAAATTAACTTTATTGATCACTATTTAAAAAAAAATAAAAATCAGGAGAGGGACTACCAGCCAATGGATTCCATCAAGATGGGAGCCATTATGTGCACTTGAAATCAGATGACTATAAGTCAGCCTCTCCTCTGTTAGGCCTTTTATTGGTCAAAGTAAAACTTTCAAATGAGGTGGAAATGGATTTACCCCGTCCAATCTGGCCCCCTCTCTCTCTCCCCCCGGCTATACTTACCTTTGGCTGAACGGTCTTTCCCCTTTGCCGATGCGTGTGTATTATTCATACTTCGTACTCATGTGTAGCCCTGCACTCTGGATTTTGAATTTAGTTTGCGCTGACCAATGAGTGCTCGCCATTTGTAATCCAAAATCCACAGAACAGGGCTGTGAAACATTACTGGAAATGGATAATACACCCCCACCAGCGGCCGGGAAGGATTATTCGGCCAAAAGGCAAGTATAGGTGGGGGCGGAGGGAGGGAAGGGGGGGTAGATTGGATGAATTACCCTTTAACCAATCTCCAGGTTTCATGACGGTGCCTGCTCTTACTTTTACCACCCACCCCACTGCTGAATGCCACCATAATAAATCCTATGCCATTATAGACTTTTTGAATGTCACTAGCTCTGCAGGAAGACCCAAACAGTTCTCCACCAATAATAATAAACAGAGAGGCAGCGTGAGGGTCACATACCCAGACGTACAGTACTGCAAGTACACCTGGTAGGATCAGAAAATCTTTATGAAATGCAGATGAATGAACAACCTGCTACCTGTGTACAGTAGTAATGTGTTTCATGCACTTCTTATTGATGTTGCTATTTCAGAAGAAATGATCTAATTGTACTGGTTATTGCCAGTAGGTATGCCACAGAGCTTGTGCTGATTTTTTGGGGAGTGTAACACAGACGTGTGAGTAAAGACAACACTCTCTTGCATTTACTGTTGGAGGTGGTGATTTCATACAGCGATATTTGTACTGTCTCTTTGCAATTTGTTAATAATTACACTACTTTTGGTTGGCCTGATGCAGCCTGTAGTAACCAATGCCTTTGTTTCTTTGCAACATGCATGTGATTATACAGGTAGGCGCCATCCAATTTAGGTTAGACGATACCAAGTCTTACGGTGATCCAGCAGTCAATGTTTACTCTTATTTTTCTACTGGTGCTCAGTAGTTGATTGGGGAAGCATTGGAGCGTGCTAAAGGTCAGGGCAGACAACTTATTGTGCGTGCTACCAAGCCACGGCATTATTTATTTATGTCTGTACGTAGTTTAGGTTTCCTTGAAAGTAAATAGTCAATATATCCTTGGGAAACTGGCCTCTCAGTGAAATACCATGCACTCACAGTTCTTTACCTAGCAACCCTAGACTTTGTGAAATCCCAGGTGCCCTCATGTAAATATTACCTTTAGCTACAAGTCAGAGCTTTGACCATTTCCCTTCTACTATTGGCTAGTAAGGTCACTCATTTTGATGGCCAGAAAACAAGGAAAAGAAGGCTTTGGTCCAAATCTCTAACTTTTCAAGTGATCTCTATATTTTCATACTAGCATCCAGGGTTTCAGGGAGGCTGAAAGAAAACATGCAAATAGAATAAGGAGCCGGCAACTGCTGACCTATCCTTCTGAAAATGCTACTCTCCCTGCTATCACGCTAATGTCATGGCTTAAACAGTGATGTAGAGAACATATGCAGGATCAGGAGTGCTGACTTCACTCTGATGTTCTATTCTATGCTCTCTTTCCAGGTTAGTAAGTATTAACGCCAGACTCATACTTCAGAGAAGAACAGCAATAACAATTGTTTGGTAGATCTAAAGGCGTTAGTACTGCCAGATTGTAAGGTGTGCGCTGAGCATTGGGCAAGTGGGTTTGACGCCGAGCTGGTCACCTAAATACTGTCACATTTGAGTGTGCGCAGAGGTGACCAAGTGGCAAACTTTGATTACACTGAACCAACACTGTGCCACGTTACAAGTTACATACCATCTCCTTGTGCTACATGTGTGGTACTGGCTTGTGCCCAAGTCTTTACCACGACGACGGCTGGTTGGGGGGGCTGAAAATGAAAGAAAGACAATATTTAGCAGCAAATTAATTTCCATGTTATTTAAAACACATCAAACAAAACATTTTCCATGTGAATAAGGCAAGGCAGACCAACTCCAAATTCTATGAAATAGTATGAATCCACAGATTATACAAATAGCAAAACCAGTCCCTATTGGACGATGACAGACCATACAAGTATATAATATATAGGAATAGCCACAAGCTATTTCTAAGAAGGATTCAAGGTGTAGCGCTGCATGACAGTACCTCTTGAGGAACTGGGGGTCGCTTCGACTGGTTTGATGCAGAAGTCTGTGAAGCCAGCTGTGGCTGCGACTCCGGCTGCGGTGCTGGAGAGGCATCGGTACTAAAGTGGGAAAGAATAGATTAGGAAAAAAATGAATAAAATAAAGGGACAATGAAATGGAATTATTCAGAAAGGCAGCCTTGTCAGAGTGGACAGAGGAATATCCCCGATAAGTTCAAAAAGTGAACTGGTTTTGTCTGTTCTTCAGAAACCACCATTTGAACTTCAAATGGTGGTTTCTGAAGAACAGACAGAACCAGTTTGAGATCCCATGGATTCACTGGGGCATGTACAACGGGGGACAATGTGAGGCACACCGTGGACGAAGGCCTTCAATAGGAGTGAGAAGCAAGTGGTCTCTGAAAAAGAATTGCTAGGGCTGAGATTTGACCCTTCATGTTACTCAAGACTTGACCAGGACAGGATTCGTCCCAAGGTGTACTTTCTGGGATGGAACATCCTTGCCACACACGAGACGTATACCTTCCAGGTGTGATGGTAGACATTGAGCAAATTCAATATACTAGCCTTTAGAAGCATAGGGATAACCAAATCAGATAGGCCCCTATAGAACAGGAAGGGGATAAAAGGCTAAGATTACCTTGAAACCGTGTTACACCTATATGTGTATTCAGGATGTAACAGGAAACATGGACACCTCACTGGGTGGGTAAACGGTCATTTAAAAGCTGCATGTTATGTGTGAAGAGCTTCAGCAAAAGTATACAAATCTTACCTTGTAGCCTGCCGGCTTCAACACTACACAGTCGTTAGTGAAGTGCTCCGGTCACATTACCTGCCCCTCTTTACTACTTGACCATTCACAAAATTCCTTGTTTTTAAAAAAAAAAAAAGAGAATACAAGGAGTTCTGTGATTGGAGGAGAGATGATGTTACCTCCCCACTGCCTCCTCTACAAAATGATAATTTTTTGGCTTCAAATCATTCCATTTGTTCTTAAATCCCTCATCCTCATAGTTTGAGCCGACGTGACACAATGAAACTGTCACACGTCGTCTCAATAGAAGTGAACACATAGCGTCGCTCGCTCACTTCTCGATCATCTCCCTGCAGAGAGCCGTGACTGTCACTTACTGCTCCCCGCAGGGATTCCCCGCCTCTGATCCTCCAGCGCTGACTGGAGGAATGGACGGGGAAGGGGCGGATACAGATGGCTCTGCTTCTAGATAGGCAGAGCCAGCTGTCACTCACGCAGCTGGGTGGATCTCGACAGTAATGTCGGGATCCGTCCCGGCTGCGGCGGTCTCAGTATACGGCGAGCTGTAGCTTGCGATATACTGAGCTTTGGGTCACGGAAGGAGGTTAGTATATAACCTCCCGTGACCCTTAAGAGAACTTACTTACCTCATAGTTCTCTTTTAAGTTTTGATACATTTTACCATCACAGTAGAAATCCACGTACAAATACAAGAATATACAGCAGAACTTTTTACAAAGTACAACTAAATAAGAACACTGCTTGCAGAGAATAGAACTTGATGCTCAACCACAGACAGCATTGCAGCTCCTCACCTCTTTGGCTCTGGTGTATCCTGCTTGCTTGCCCATCCTGATCCGTCTTTGGGAACTAGTGAGACATTTGGGTCATTCCCTTTATTTTCTGCTTTCAGACTCGGCAGGTTTGCTGGGGGGGGCATACGCCTGGCAATGGCAACTTTACCGAGACTCTGCAGGCCATGGCGGGGGGTGACTAAGAAGAAAATATGTCAAAATTTAAAATGTACTTTTTAAAAATGCTCCAAAATCTGTAATAGCCAAAAGAACCACACAAGGCATTAGAAAATTCGAGCATGGGGGCTGATTTATAGTGTATTAACACAGTACATAGCTGTGAACTCTGCAAACAATGTGCATCACTGCCACTAGATGGAGCCGAAGAGCATAGGCATTACCTAAAACCTCATCCCCTTATAGTGATAGTAATACGCTATGCAAACACATTATAAATCAGCCCCATGTTGTCTCATTACAAGAACCATGTGTAGTCTTACTCAAATTCTGGTGTACTTTGTGTATTTCTTTCAGATCTGTGCAACTGAAACAACTCTTGCCTCTGAGGAGGTTGCCTGTAACAAAGTCACTGCTGCTCTCCCTGTGTAGGGTGACTGTTCTTGTATTGGCCCCTTGTAGTCTTCTGCAGACAGATTGTAGTAGGAGGACCTGTTGGGCCCCCTACCACAGCTCTGCTCTACGAGTAGCTCAGTGATACCAATGGTTTTACAAGGTCATTTGTGGGTTTGCAAATGCATTAGATGCACATAACGTGGATTTATATCCGTATATATTTAAAGTGTCTGGGCCTGGAGTTCACCTTATGTAATGTTCTGCTCAAAGTTCCCATTGTGTCCTTTATAAAATATAATGGAAGAATTCACGGTTCATCTCGATAACCTACAGCAAATTTGGTATGCAGAACGAACACTTTGAACTCCATTCCCTGAGCAAAGGACTATAGACACTGCTTAAAAATATAGTCGTTTGGACCAGCAGTTTATAAGTGCAGTTTCCTAGTAGAATAGGGAGCAAATCTTTGATTTTGGGAGCTCAGTATGACACTGACAGACGATAAATGAAACTACTCCTATACAGTTATCTTCATCAGCAGGAAGTTCTAATGCAAACAATATGGCTGTGTTATGTCCGAGTGAAAACTGGGCTCACTCATCCTAAGCAGAGAGGTGTATATATAGCCCAAAGGAAAGGAGCAATGAACAATTTGCTTGGCCTAATACCCATCCTAATGGGAACATGGCCTATTACCAAATGGTCTGCTGTGTCCCAGGTTCAATGAAATCATACAAATGGAGGACCTCTATAATTGCTGTAGCAGTTCAGGAGCACAACCCAGAAACTGTCCTTCAGTGTGAAAGATTCCATTGCCAACATACGGCAGCCAAGCTGCATGTGAAAACACACAGGATGGTGCAAAGGCACCGAGGTAGCTTTCAGTTCAACGGGTACCAAAAGTTTTCTTTCACCCTCTGTGCCATTCCATGTGCTGAAAGGAACGTATATGGCAGCTACATGGATAAGAAGAACCAGACCCGGACAGTGTTCTTTAGGGTAATATTCCTCTGTTATACAGCAAATGCATTACCTTCACAGACAGGCCTGCTAAAGGTGGCTCTGCTCACATGTCGTACTTCTCATTTCATAGCCGGGGGCACCACATGGAGCTGCCAGAAAAACAAACTACCTAACAATTGTCTTACCTGCTGGTTTCTGCACCTCTAAGGACTTGCCCTTGTATGTATCAAACAGGTTGAGGGACGAGTACTTCTTGCCATCCTTCCCTTTTGCAGTCTGCCCCGGCCGCTCTGACATTGCGGGGGAAGCTCATTGAGTAAAGACTGGAAGAAAAAAAATTGAAGGAAAAGGGAACATCAGAGAAAAAAAAAAAACAGTCTGGCCCTTCTAAAACTTTAGCAGATCACAATTACTTGGCCATGTCATTGCGCCAATTGCAAGCAAGCTAATCTGCAGCTATTGCAGGCTATGAACATCAACTGCTTCAGTGTGGCAGCTTCAGCTGTACTTTCTATAGCTGCCACCATTATAGTATTTGCCATGTCTGCCATGAACTGGTCACCAAGTCCTAAGGATCTATCCGTATGGAAAATCCAACATTTATTAAGCCAATGCCCTCTCCAAAATGGCTGCTGGGACGCATCAAACTAGCAGATCAAGCCAAGACGCTCCTTCTAGAGGATAAGTATGGTCATTATGGATTATAACCATACACCAAGTATAGTCTCACTCTTGTGAGGCCTACTGAGCAGTAAAAAGTGATCGGATACAATTTGTGACCCTAAAGCAGTGGTTCTCAACCTGTGTAACCTCGGGACCCACATGTTTCCTTGGTCATTAAGGCGTGACCCAAAAATGATTTCATTTCTGAAACATTTTAATTTATTACACAAAACAACTTGTGCAGTATTCAGCAATATATATTTTGCTGAAAGGAAATGAATTAAAAAAAATTAAAAAAGTTTATAAAGAATAAAAATTAAATATTTCTTGAACCACAAATTCCCCCTCTAGTTCTCTCTAATGCAGATGGGCCGGTCTATGCAGACATGACGCCGCGACCCACTGCAGAGGGTGTCGCGACCCACGAGTTGAGAACCACTGCCCTAAAGTATTCTCCTCCAAGCTCCATTTCCATTGTATTGTGGAATGTGGCCAAATCTAACCTCTGCTTGCAGGAAGTAAAGAAGGTGCTGCAAAGGTTATGGGCAGTGCGGTTCGTGTTATTTTGGTATGGTTGCAAGTTTACTTTAACTATACATTGACAGCGAGGACAGTATTTTATGTACAAATGTATTAAAGAACACTCCTCTTAGATCAGATCAATCAAGATGTCACCGACAGGCATGGACTGACACAAAGGAACAGCAAGGCACAACCACTGTACAGCACCCACAAACATAGAAAGGTTGTCCAATGTATAGGCACAATCCATCTGACATCCTCCAGCAGCAGCAGGCAGAACATTGCCTAGTACCATACTGGGTGGGATGGCTGGGTTGGGCTCCACTTTCAAACCCATCTTGTGAATGTCAGCTTCCAAAATCAACTGAGCCATCTGCATCTGGTAGAGACACAGTCTAGAACAGCGCTTCTCAACCTGTGTAACCTACGCACTGTAGGTGTAATTGCGTGTAAAGTGTGTTAATAGCACGTTTCTGTGCGATTAATGTGCTGTACTAGTGTGAACAGGCCCTCTAAAACACTGACATACATACACAGCCACAATCTCATACACTCTCGGAAATTCTCACACACACACACAAAAAAATCCGGTGCTTAATTGCTTACTTGATTCATCAGCCCAGAATGGACTTGCAGTGGAAAGGAGGGGAACACTTATTTCAGGTGACAGTAGTGTCTAACCCTAAATGGTGTCTCTGGAATTCAATTTTGTTTTTTGGACTATGATCTGATGGAATACACTGACCTTAAAGCCGGCCTGTACCCATATCTTTAAAATAACAACAAACACACCTTTAGAAATATTTAGTAATGACAATCTACAAGCACATACTTCTAGATAATTGCCGGCTTTGTATTCTTTGTACACCTTATTTCTCTTTTCTTCCCCAGTCTTCTGACAGTGGCCATGTTTACTAAGGGCTGGTTACATTCCAGAGGTATTGGACCTCTGGAACGTAACCCAACCGGCTCCCTGGGGCGTGGCGGTGCACTGAAGTCAATGCACTGCAGCCACGCCCCCTGCCTAAACGCGTGGCACATTGGTGCCTGCATTCCGATCCAGTACGATCTGCAAAAATGCTGTGGCACGGGGAGCTGGCCGGTTGGCATTTCAGAGGCCGAACACTCTGGAACGCACTCTTTGTGGTGTGAACCGGCCCTAAGGGCAGACTACTAGCTCTCCTATTACTTCCTGGAATCTGGCACATGTGACTAGGACATGTGACCATGCACATCATCTCAGGGGAGGAAAATGCCTTCCCTTGAGATCTCCTGAGATTACAGATGAGATTTCCCAGCAATGCTCTGCTGATGACAAGGAAATCCCAGAGTGCATTGCTTTGCCAAACTGAAGTCATTTTGCCCTTTCAAAGCAGGAAGTGAATGCTCTGCAAGTGTTACCTTACCGGAGTGTTCTATGCATAGGTACCATTCCCATACATCCCTGCTGAGGGACAGGAGAACACACAAGGTTAGGGCAATTAGGGAATTTTACTTCTATCATTTGCTGTTGAACTAACAGACGGCCATTCTCCAGGTGGTGTACGGTAACATACTAGGTGGAAATGATTAATACTTTAGATTTATTACTTTGAGTCACCAGTGTGGTGCGGTATCATACCAAAAAGGAAACCTGTCATAAGAGAAAACAGGAAAGCTGCCAATGATGACCGGTGTTTTTGTAAAAATTAGAAGCCCGACTATCACGCTGACCTTCCAACTTTTATATTTTTTGATCTGATCTACAGGCTTGTTCTTGTGAGAAACCTAGAAGAAGATAATGAAGCCCAAGACAAGCTGACTAGTGTTTTCAGAAGGGGGTTAAAGGAGAACTATGGGGTTAAGGCTTTTCCCCATAGTTCTCCTTAGGGTAATGGGAGGACACAAACTAGCGTCCTCCCGTCACCCTAAGCTCAGTATACCGCGAGCTACAGCTATACTGAGACGCCGCAGCTGAAGCGGATCCCGACAATTATGCCGGGATCCGCCCAGCTGCGTGAGTGACAGCTGGCTCTGCCTATCTAGAGGCAGAGGCAGCTGTACCCGCCCCCTCCCCCTCCCGTTCCGCCAGTCAGCTCTGGCGGATCGGAGGGGGGGGAATCCAGCCCCTCCTCTGTCACGGCAGAGAGCCGTGACAGGATCGAGAGGTGAGCGAGCACCGGTATGTGTTCGCTCACCTCCCGATCTCCTGAGCCGACCTGTGACAGTCTCATTGTCACAGGTCGGCTAGAACTATGAGGTGACTGAAAAGCACTCACCTCATAGTTCTCCTTTAAGGATAGCAACCCCATGATTATTTCACAGCACGTTTAATTCTAAGAAATACAAACAGCAGACCATCTCAAACATTTGTACCAGCACGTTGGAGGAAAAAAAAGAAAAGTGTGACCTACTTGCTGGTTGCACAGTTGTGTCACCTCTATGCCCAGTCGCTGCAAGGCCAATAGCTGCACTGGTAATGGTTCTTACATACACAGGATGTGAGAGCAAAGCCACAGTGCTGCTAGCACCTACTTTCCTGTTATTTCACACTACAGATATGTCCAGGCCTTTTGAAGCAGAACTTTCACATATAATATGCAAATACAGTTTTATATTGCTACAAGGTACTAGGAAAGTATTTGGGTACAAGAGTCAACAGGAAGTCCCTAAAAATATCCGACACAAACTCCTCTATAGAGGAAAAAAAATGCTGCTAATAAAATTAGGAAATTCTAGATCATGGTTTCCAATGGACACCTTACAGGATAATTACACTTTTATATAGTAATGAGCTACTCAAGTTTTAAAATTAAAGTGATGGTAAAGTCCAAAATGCTTTTAAGTCATTTCAAAATGCTGATTAAATCACTTACAATGGATGATGAACCTTAAAAGGGTCTAGAGGTATTGGAAGAATAAAATGTACTCTTCCCAATACTCGTCACATCCCGGCTCTAAAGATTGAGCGATCACGAACCGCTGATTGCTCAGCTCACAGCTTCTCTCTGCAGAGTGGTAAATATAAGTCATCACTCCCTACAGGGATTCCTTCCTCCAGCACTGACTGGAGGGACAGACAGGGGAGGGGGCGGCGGGCACAACCGACTCTGGCTCTAGAGAGGCAGAGTCATCTGTCAATCAGGCAGCAGGGTGGATCTCAAACATATTTCCTGACTGCGGCGTGGCTTTGCGCTGTCAGCAAATATCAGGCAGTAGCCCGCTAGATGCTGACTTTGGGTCAGGCTGCGGCAAGCAAAGCGAGCAGAGTTCTGTCTTGTATTAAAAAGGGAATGTACGGTAGAGACAAAGCGATCATTTTGCAAATTTACAGATCGCTGGTTCGGCCTCATCTGGGGTATGCGGTCGAGTTTTGGTCACCAGTCCACAGAAAGGATGCCCTGGAGCTGGAGAGTCCAGAGAAGGGCCACTAAACTCATTAAGGGTCTGGAGGACCTAAGCTATGAGACAAGGTTACTAAACTCAAACATGTTCACGCTGGAAGTGAGGAGATCAAGGGGGACATGATTTTTATGTACGAGATGTTTAGTGGTGATGGTAACATCAGCAATAAACTTTTTACTATAAACGCCATAACAAGGACCAGAGGCCACCACCTAAAACTGGTGGAGAAAAGATTTATCCACAAGTGGCGTAGGGGGTTCTTTTCAGTCAGAGCGGTTACATTTTGGAACTTGCTGCCACAAGAAGTGGTATCAGCAGAGTATTGAATCATTCAAAAATCAATTTGATACCTTCCTCAGAGACCATAACATACAGGGGTACAGGTACTCTTAAAAACAAGATCACACGGGAGCACGCACGCACGCGCACACACACACGTTGAACTTGATGGACCTTTGTCTTTATTCAACCTCAAATACTATGCAACTATGTAAAATATACTCCTTTGACCCAAAAGAGGACTAAAGCCAAAAAAAAAAAAAAGTTTGGCTTTAGTTCTCTTTTAATGTTTAGAAGTTTTAGTTTCCTGTAGGATGAGCTCATTCCCTGAGCACTGGCCCTCATATACTGTTTTAGGGTGGCTCCTTTCCCTTGCAGGGCCCTATGGAGCAACCCTTGTGTGCGTTAGTAAGCGGTGCCCCCACACACAGGCACAGCAAGTCAAGCCCTTCCCCTGCTCCCCACTCCTCCGTCTGCCC